CAATCTGCAGGAGCTAATATCGAGGCAAAATTACTTGCTCTCGAGGAAGTTGTGATGCAGACTCAAGCTCACCTGCATGCTTTACACGGTGACATCCGTAACTTCTTTGGATATGTGAAGCATAGAGATACTATGGTGGAATCAATGTTTCAAGAAATTATTCCCCACGGTCAATGGAATTTCCCTGGTTTCCCAGACGAAATTCTGCTAGCATTCAATACCGAGGCATCTCCAGAGCCCGAACAAGATGAAGAAGATCCTCTAGTTGATGACCCGACTCCTGATCAGCACCGATCTGACACCCCTGAATATCCGCCTACTGTCCATGTCGAAAAAACACACAGTCCTGTTCGTGCAACCGATCCATCGCCTGTACCACGAAGTGGCCGTCGCACCAAGACCACGGCTGGACGTAAAAATTTTGCGCATTATTACTCTAGTTCCTCAGAGTCTAGCCCAGTACCCCTTCGCAAGCGCACCCGACGAGGAGCTGCTAGCACCTCCAAGCCCACACCACCACGTAAACATTGAGGTACCTCACTTGCATTCATTTTCATTTAGTTTGCATTTCATTGCATGGCATTTAGTTTATATTTAGTTTAGTTCTCTTTAAGCATTGAGGACAATGTTTCCCTTAAGTTTGGGGGAGGTAGTGTTCTTGCTATGACATATGCATGATAGCATTGACATAGTATTATGCCATGGCATCAGTAAATGGTAGGACAGTTAGATAGAATGTTTTGAGGATACCCAATGATAATGATCTTGTGAGGCTAGAAATTGAATGTAAATGACTGTTGAGAATGATAGAACCCACTCTAGGGTCTGATGCTTTGTGAAAAACTTTTACACGATTTGTATGTTCTCTATACTTAGAAAATTTGGAATTTTTTTATGAAAAAACTCTAGTTAGTTTTGGCATTGAAATATGGTATTGTGCTTAAAATAAAATTAAAAAACAACTCCCTTATATATGAAACTGTGAATAAATGCTTAGGCATAGCTGTAGAGGGACACTCCTCTTTGCCGTGGCATTGCCTGGAACTCTCTTTAATAAATGGCAGCCATGTGCATATGAGTGAATGAAAGCAGTCACGAGATGACTCTACTTAACTAGCTCGGGGGTGGAAGGTATGCTCCCTTTCAACTAGAGTGTGGGAGAGTAGGTGTGATGTGCTGACTCCCTTCGTAATATCAACTATATATATAAAAAAAAGGGAGTAAAGAAAATGTGTTTAATGAATAAGTAAATGCCTTGACAAAAACTAGGGGACTTGAGTAGAAATTGTCTAAATTTGCTAAGTATAGATTGGATACAATCACGCACACACACTACCACAAAGGATCTTGACCTAGGGAAAAGTACTTGAATTCTTGATAAGTCTAATATGCTGAAGCCTATTTTGCTGAGGGTTGAAATCCAATTTGGTCTTAATGTCTTATTATCGAACATTGCCATGACATTTTGCTTATGTAACTGCTATCCATTGCTTGAGGACAAGCAATAGCTTAAGTTTGGGGGTGTGTTAACTTCCTAAAAAGGCTACTTTTAAGGCCTTTTTCACTTAAGTTATTGTTTGTTTAAAAGCTCATTTTAGGATCATGTAGTTGCATATAGCTGCATTTGTGGTGGTAGTGCAATTTTATTTCTTAATGATGCTGCTTGAGGGAAAGGTGCAGTTTGTCTGTGGTGTGCAGGGAATAACAAGCAAAAAGGATTTGTTGGGAAGTAATGACGCGACATCACATGTTGCTGAAGCATATTGAAATGCCTTGACATTTCTGGCATAGAAAACGACAAAAAGATATAGTTGTACGAGGACAGCTGGCACTACACGTGAAATGATTGTTGTAACCGCCTGCCAGAGCTACTATGGGACCACTGCCACCTGGAGGATAAGGTTCACACACAAGGTGTGACTCTAGGGGGTATGAGAGGTATTTTGCACCCAACAACCTTATCATTACCCCTAGATATTTTTATTATATATTACACCTCATGGGGAGAGAGGAAAGAAGGTGTGAAGAGGCACACACATAGAGCAGAAAAAAATCAGATTTTTATTTCTTTTTCCTTTTCTTCTTCATTGGGTTTTCCTCCATTGATTAAGCTCTAAGGAGTGGCGAGCTAGGTGCCGAAAGGAGCTAGCGAGCTAAGGAGATTCGTGGTGGCCGAGAAGACCTCTAATCGCGTCGAAGGCTCTTTCTTACTTCCCTTTTTGCTACTATTTTTCTATTTATTTGTGGGTTGTTGGAACGAATATTTGCATGACTTTGTGTTTGGATATTTCGAACCCCACCATGAACTAACTTATTTGGTGGTGATTGGTTTAATGGATGTTTAGACTTTATTTTAATGGTTTATTTAAGTTTATTTTGGTTCTTTATTTACTTTTCTTATGAATGCTTCGTCATCTAGGCTTGTAAGAGGCATGAAAATGTCAATTTCTTAGATGAAGTTTAGGTATTCGGGAGAAACCTAAGCTAAAAATACTTGTAAGTATTCGAGAGAACCGCAAGACAAGATCCATATAAGCAATGGGTTATAGTATTTTCAAGGGGCTTTGAACCGGCCTAGGAATATTATAATATAATCCCTTAGATCTCGGGAGAGACTAGGATAGGATTTCAATGACTAAAAAGGGTGTCTTTATCAATAGGGTAGGTTGGCCAACATCGTTGAGTGAGAGCAGATGCCTTGGCATCCTATTCTGTTAGGTTCCTTTGAGAACATTTTAGGAAAGCCCTGTCGAGCAAGTAAAGATTAGATAGCTTAAATATACCTGAGAAATAAGTAGATATTTGAAGTAGATATTTTTAGTATAAAAATCTATTTTTATCATTTTAATAAGATGTTGTCAATTTATTAAGAAAAATCTATACATATACTATTTTTAGTCACCTTTTTATACTTATAAGATTTAAAGTTAAAGACGATTATCATTTTATTTATTTTATTTGGTAAAAAAAGGGTTTAAAATGTTAGGATTCATATATTACATTTTAATTTAATAAAAATATATCATGTGTTTTCAGGTTTTTTTTTATTTAAATATTCCTTCATAGAAGATTAATATCAAAATAATATTTTTTAAATTATCTTCTAAATTAATATTCTTACTTCACTTTAGGTAAAAATGTTTTCTTTTGCAAGAAGTAATTTGATAATATTATTTTAAGTTAATGGTTTGATGGTGTTAAACTCATCAAGTGAATTTAATGATAAAAGAGAATGTTAGTTTTTTTAGAGGTCTTAGGTTTGAGCAGATGCGTTTGTAGGGTGTGTGTTGTTAATGAATTAAGAAAATTATGGATATATATTACCTTATAATCGTTTCAAACTATTAAAAATGATTAATTAGTGTTTATATAATATTAAATTTTAATGAATTGAGATTTAAAATTAGCAAATGATCGTAAGTAGGATGATAAAAGTTGTGTATAACAATATATTAATTTTGTGTTAAAATCTTGAGTAATTATTTCTGTAAAATCCTAATACTACACATAATGTTTTAGTAAAATATGTAATATATCATATATAAACTTCAATTTTATGTTTTTTTATACATTGACTTTTGATTTGATTCATTTTTTCAAAAAAAAAACACTAATAATTTTTAACAATGTATTATCATCTCAAGTTTACATATTGCACACACAATAATTATATTCATTCAATATTAAAATAAATAAATATATTTTATATCTTAAAATGTGTTTAATTGAATTAAACTCAAAATTTCAACCTTAACATATCAAATTAATATTAGATCAAAATTTATGCACAAATATTTATCTATATTATTGAATTAAATGTCAGTTGACTTGTGACACACGAGCTCAATAATAACTTTCGTATTTGAAATATAAAAAAAATTAACCGTTAGTTATAATGATACAAATAATATTTTCAGTTTATACAATAGAAACATCAAATGAAATTATGATGTATACATTTATTTTAACAAATACAAGGGTAAAATTATAATAATATGTTAGTTGAATGGTATTTGAGTTCCTTAAAATTTTTCATAAAAACATTAATATGATCTATGTTTTTTTATTTAATATAGTCTTTAAATTAAGAAGAAGAATATCAAATTGACATTTGATCAAGGAATCAAACGTTATATGTGCTAACATGACAATTCACGACACTAGTAAGACAGTCCACGATATTGACATGATGATTCATGATTTAACTTAACAGTTTACGATGTTAATGAACAATTCACAACGACTGATGATGTGGCTAATGTCTCCTCAAACCTTTCTAAAAACAAACTTATGTAACTCCTGATTTTTTTTTTGCACATCATATGGCCTTAAATTGAGGGGGAAAAAACTAAATTGGCCTTTCGACAAACATAATTAAACATTGACCGTTACGGTGTTGATGTAGTAGCTCACAATGCGAATGTTTGATTCCGTTAGTTAAAGAGACAATTTATTTTTTCTCAGTTTAATGGTCATATTGAATGTGAAAAAAGTTTAGGGGTCACATTGATCTTTATGAAAAAGTTTGAGGGCGTAAGATATCATTAAACCTAAAATTTTTAATGAACGGGCCTAGAAACAAAAGGCCCATCAATGGATATATATATATATAAGTTTTAATTTCGTTTAATTTCCCTCTTTTGTTAACCATCAAACCGAAGTTTTGTTTCTTTTCTCCAATTCATTTACCTCCCAGTTCAATCCCCAAAGCCCTTAAAGAACTCCCATGGACTTAGGGTAGGTTAAGTTGTTCTGGGTTTTCTTCGATTTGCAGAAAGTGAGAAATATGGGTCACTCTAGCTTCCAAGGTATTCAATTCAACATGTATTTATCGTTTCTTTAACTTAAAATCCCCTTTCTTGGATTGAATTGCAAAGCCTCTTTTGTTGTTTTTCGTAGGAGCAGACGAAGATGACGATGAAGAAGAATACGGGGAGTAAGCCGTTGGGAGTAATCCGCTTCTGGGTTTTATGTTTGGGAATGTCGATAACTCTGGTGATCGCTTCTGGGTTTTATGTTTGGGAATGTCGATAACTCTGGTGATCTTGATGCTGATTATCTTGATGAGGTACGTTTTCGACAATAATTTATCCCCTTTTCTTCTTGGAGCTTAAATTTTTGGCAATTTAGGCGTGAACCTAACGAGAACATTTCTATGCTATCGTTGGTGTTTATGTAAACCGTTCAAAGCTCTTTATTTTCTTACTTTGCATGTAAAGAACTCGGTGGAATCTCAAGTTCTTGATGGGCTTGGGATGTGTAACACTTCGCCTTTTGGTGGAGCTGGGTTTGGATGAGGGTATAGGGTAAATTGAAGCTGGTGTGAGGAAGGAAAGTGTAATACTTTACTTTTGCGGGAAAGTATTTTGAATCTACATAAGTTTAGTGTTCGAGGAGAAATTATGGTTTAGGCTTATATTAACTTGGATTTTTCATCTCAAGAGTGGTGGAACAAAAGCATCTTGATGCTGCAGTGAATTATTTCTAGTTGAGTTCAGAATAAAGTACTTATTGTTTGGAAGAGGCCATTTTTTTTTGATAAGCTAAATGTAATTTAAATACAGAGAATAACCAATCAAACAATTACATGTTTTTCTAAGACTCATTTGTTCCTGAAACTCCCATCAAATTCTACTCTACCAAGTTCGAGTCACGTATAATGAAATTCTTACAAGTTTGGAGAAATAAACTTGCCAATCTTTGTTAGTTCCATCATGAGACTCAAGACATATAAATCAAATCCTGCAAGAAAGAAGATTTGGTAACTAAATTTGGGTCAAAATATGGCCAGTGAACCCATGAAAATCAAAAGCACTCATTTGGACCTGAAGGAGTTAGCTGCTCTTGAAGGACCCCATGATTTCTCCTCATATTTCATCCGTAACTTGATAAACCCTTGCAGGGGATAACATTCTAATTTGACTTGCACTATCTATTTAAGCTGTTAGTTTGGCGCTTTGCTTAACTACTTAAGTAAAGATGAAAAATTCTCTCTTCCAGAATGCAAAGGAACATCTTGCTGCTGTAGCAGACAAGTTGGGTCCATCTCTTACGGATATAGATGTAAGCTGTTCTGTTATGTGTTCTCTCGGTTCTCTCTTCCCCACTAAATTACCGATTCATAATAAACAAATCTAATGCAGAATATCTTCTCTGGTGTTTTATATTTATTTTTAAGTGGGGGCTTGTTTTGCTAATGACACTGTTTGATTATCAGTTGTCAGATAAATCACCACACACTCCAGCCGATGCTGCTGACCAAGCTGATGGTACAGAGTATGTCCCTCCAACAAAGCGACGTAGAGGGGGAAAGGTAATGGCGGTTTTCCTTCATTGCTTTCATTTGCCATGGTTGATCTTTTCATTTATTTCTTGTAAAATTTTGTTGAAAAGGAAAATGGCACTTGCATTATTGTGCAACAGAACGCAACTTTTAAATAGGTTGTCTTTACTTAAACTAGAATCCTAAGACTACTAGGTTTCTAGTTTTCTAAGACTCTATCTCCTAAGAGAGTTCTAATTAAAATAACTTGTTCTAAAAACATTAGAGAAAAGAAAAAACTAATTAAACTTTAAATTAAAACAGGCAGAAAAGAGTCTAATTGGCTTCTTTCTATACTTATGGCTGTGTGTGTGGCTCACACGCTAGGAATTTTACGAACGAATTCTGCAGTTTGGCCGATCAGCGCACGACAGACCTTCCTGTGCTGGCGGTGTCGAATGTGGAGCCTCTAAAAATTGCTCTTTGGAATTTCGACAGTACCCATCACCCCAAACAGTCCAAGATAAAAATCCTATGAACAAAATTTTTTTCTAAAATTTTAGGTCATCTGATACCATTTAAAATATTAAGAAGAGAATACTTTCATGTATTTTGTCCACCAACATTATGAGTACATAATACATATACAAGTATAAAGATCCTAGAATATGAAAAGTAATGTTTAATTACGTAATATCATACATTAATACAATATATATTAACCATAATATTTAGCCTATAAGTATTTTTTTTTATAGAAGATAGGCCTCATTAAAACCCCCCTTCATATCCTGCATGTTATATCAGTAACATGAAGGACATAGGAAGGAGGAAAAGTGCACCTCTGAATTTTATTACTTTGAATCGTAACGTACAACCAATTCCTAGTCATAGACTGCTTGACATAAGACTTAAAAACATAAACCACACTGCAGCAGTAAAACCAGAATCCTAAAAAACTGACTAAGCACAGCAAATAAATAACCTCAACACAAAGCAGTTGATCAACCAATACCAGCCTTTGCTAACTCTTCCGCTTCCCAATTGGCTGCTCTCAAAATATGTCTTGAAATGATGCCCTGTCCTTCCACATTAGTAGCTACGCCTCTAACCAAGGTCTGAAATAAAGGGGTACATAGATCAGGATTTTTAATCCACTTCAGAGCTGTGGTGGAGTCAGATTCCAAGATAATCCTCTGTCTTGGAGAGGAAACCACTTCTTCAATGAGAGTCAAACCACTTTTGATCGCCATTATCTCTACAAGAATAGGACCACCTCCATTTTTTTCTGAAAATGAACCAAGTAACAAACCCCTGTCATCCCTAATCAAACCACCTGTTCCACCTTTGTCCCATCCCTTAGCCATTGCCCCATCAATATTTAGTTTAAGGAAACCTTCTGGAGGAGGCTATGTTTTAAAAGGCGCGAGGCGCTCCAAGGCGATTAGCTACCCGAGAGCCTCAATTTTTGAGGCGCTTTGAGGCGAGGGATTCACGTACGCGAGGCGCTTCTTTTGAGTTCCACGTAACCTTTCCCCCTCTCTTGGATTCCAGAAATAATTGTATTGACACCATATCCCCATCACCCCTACTCGGCCCTACAGACCGCCACTGGATCAAAACATCATCCGTTTCAGTTTGCAACTCACCATTTTGCCCCCCCAATGGACTTCTCATTCCCAACCCACTTAACAGGCCCAATATGGTTGGATTTCCTAATTGAAGTAGGTGCAACACCATAGTCAACCGAACATGCAGAATCATCCGAGAAGTTTGTATTTCTCGATTCCAGACCCTCGTGCTTCCCACTTATTTTTGTCCTACACTGCCAACTGGCAGCCCACTAACTTCTAACATACTTGTTTTAACATTGCGCCCATCTTCTTGATCAGCCTTATCTTGGCCCAAGGTGACAACCCCCATGCTTAAACTCCTTTCTCTCCCATCAATACAAACCCCCGACACAATCTGTTGCCCTGGAACTCCACCTAATACTGTCTCCTTAGAACATAAATGGGTCATTGTACGTGAATCGCTAAAAGCATCGCCTCGTCGCCTCTCGCCGCCTCCGACGATTGAATCGCCGCCTCCGACGATTGAATCGCCGCCTCATGTACTCGCCGCCGCCTTGGTGGTCGGAGGCTTCTTCTAAACGCCTCGCCTAGCGCCTCAGGCGCGCTTTTTAAAACACTGGGAGGAGGTACCCATTTAGAAGGATTTAGCCTATAAGTATAACATTGACAAATCTTACAATGAAAGAACTTGGAACTTTTATTGATGAATAGGTGAGTGAGGGAATAACTTTTGAAGGCATGCAAAATGAGGGTGACCAAGGTGAAAAAGCCATAACATTTCTTCTCCCAAAAGTGTTCAGGTACAAGATTGGTGAACACGAGTGATCTAACTATTTCCCGTAGGTGTATTTTTTTCTCCCGGCTATCCTATCTGCTGATGTGTATTAACACGAACTCATATGAATAATCTGTTTTTCTTTGAAATAAGAACCCAAGGTTTATGAAAATTACTGAGTTCCATTATATGTTTTGAGAATCTGGATCTTGCTTTTGAATTTGGTATGAACCATGGAATGAAAGGATTTGAAGATTTCCCCGAATTTGGATTTTTCTTCTATAAGGAATGTCCATGTTGTTCTAGTGTGGTCACCTATGAAGGATATGAACCAACTAGTCTCATTAAGATTTTTCACACATGAAGGTCCCCAAATTTCACCATGAGTTATAGAGAATGAATGTGAAAGTTTGTATTGGATCTAGGATAGACATGTCGTGTATGTTTTGCAAGTTGACAAATCTGACTATGAAAGAGCTTAGAACTTTCTTTGATGAATAGGTGAGGGAACAATTTTTCATGGTATGCAAAATATTTGTGACCAAGGCGAAAATGCATAACATGACGATTTGAAATAAAAGTATAATTAGAAGAGAACATGAGTTAACAAATTCCGAAACACAACTTGAATGAACTTGTCCTTGTAGAGGAGAGTTCCCTTTGAGCAAATATAGGCTACCACATATCTCAACACTGCTAATCACCTTCCCAAATCTTGTCTGATTGATTAAAGTTTAGTCACAGTTCAATTCACGAGTGAGTTTACTAATAAAAATCAGATTACAATCTAATTTTGAAACATAAAGAACAAATCGAGAATGTCCTTCTCTCAATTTGATTGATCCGATTTCTTCTCTTCTTGAGAGTGATCCATATGCTATTCGGACTGGAGAGGCTTGATTGTGGGCTGAACTTGTGAAAAATATTAGTCTCCAATGATGTGATCTGAGGTTCTAAAATCAACTATCCAAGGCTTTACTTTGTTGGTTTTTGCAATATTTACAACAGAAAAATTACTTTGATTTGCCAGCATGTGGGTGTGCTGTTTGGTGGAGGTTGTCATATACTCAAGTAGTTTCTGCTGTGCTTCAATTTGCTCCGTTCAGTGCTGGTGTTGGAGGCATTAGCCGAATTTGCATGGCTTCTCTAACTTGCCATGTTCAGCTAGGTCTCCAATCAATAGGTTTTTCATGTAGTTTCCAGCATCTCTCTCTCAAGCGGCCAGGTTTCTTGCAATGTTCACACAATGCATCCCTTTTCTTTGCTTGGTATCCTGAGATGAGTTGTGTGTGTCAGGGATTTAAATAGCGGTCCGCGACCGCGATAGCACCCGCGATATAGCGGTAGCGGTGTCCTTCACGACCGTTGTTATATGACCGCACATAGCGGTAAATGCGAGGTGACCGAAAATGGATTGTGACCGCGATTTGAATCCCTTGTGCATGTACGAGGCTAAACCTTCAGCAACTGTGGAATTGATGTTTTCTGTCATCATCAATTTCTTCCTGCTTTCTTCTCTTCTAACTTCAACAAATACCTCTAGGATGGAAGGCAAAGGTTTGTTGTCTAGGATTCTACCCTTTCATCCAAATCTTTATTGAGACCAAGAGAAATTTGAATATTCTCTTTTGGAGACTTTTATGCAGGGCTGCATCATCAGGAAATTTCCAGGGATGTATTTCAAACATATCAAGTTGCTGCAAATACCTGTGTCAACTCTGCTGCTATCATTGAAATTGAGTCTAGGCTCAGATGCTGATCATGTGGAATTATAATGGGAGTTTTGTTCTTTAAGGTTGCTTTAACTAAATCTCGGCATTATTTTTATATGCTTTATTTTGTGGCTTTGGTCCATGGATGTGTATAAAGTATGATGGACTATAAATTATTGAATTGGAATTATATCTTTATAATCGCAATGCTATTTTTATAAAGCAGATGATCTGAACCCAAAATATTATAATGGTTCATTTATTTATTTGATTTGAAAGGTAGATTTTATGAAATGGTGTAATACATATCTGAGCTTAACTCGATTGAACCTTAATAAGTGTAATAGTTGATAGATAGTTTAGAAGGCTAGGTTCTAAATTTGATGCAAATTTGTTTTCATATGTTTGAATGGACACTGAAGATATTAATCTCTCATTGTAGACGGGGGGGGGAAGGAAAGTTATGTGTGAATTTGAAAAGTATTATGCATTTTGTGTGAATTTTCTCTATGTTATGTCTGTAACAAGATGAACAAGCATAGCCGCATGCTATTTGTGGAAGATTGACATCTTTCTTGATAAACGTTCTGATGAGATTTGTGGAAGTTTTTACTTAAGTTTGATGCATGTAAATCCGCTTCTTAGTAAGCCTTTCCTGCTTAATGTATTCTTCAATTGATCGCCCTGCAGGTTGGTTTGTCCAACATCTTAGAGCGGATTGTTGAAACGCTGAGAGATAATACCGAAGTGTCCTATCTGTTCTTAAAACCAGTGTCTTAGAAGGAGGCGCTCGACTACCTGAACATTGTAAAGCATCCAATGAATTTGTCCACAATAAGGAGCAAGGTTAGGTTGATGGAATACAAAGATCGAGAAGACTTTAGACATGATCTGTGGCAGATTGCCTACAATGCTCATATCTACAATGATGGTATTAATCCTGGCATTCCTCCTTTCGCCGATCAGCTTTTGGAGCTTTGTGACTACTTGCTGCACGAGTATGCTCGTAGCTTGGATGAAGCTGAAGCAGGTATAGGGGAATCTTAATCAGGTCACACTTTTGAAATCATTCATATGAAAGAGAGAATTACCTTAGAGAAGAACTGCTACTTCTCTAGGTTTTAGGGGTGTCCAGGCTTTGAAGAGCCATGGCAATAGAGCTTTGTATGTGTACTCAAAACCTCAGGTGCTTGAGTTGTTTCAGGCATCAAAAGAAACTAGTTCATATAGGTGGGTAAGAAAAAGGATGGTGATAACCTAGGTGATGTAGATGAACGGCAAATGATGGTTTGGACATTAAGAGATGAAAGCTTATCGAGAACCAGATCCTTGTAGGAAGCGTAGGCCATTGAGGACTAAAAGACCCCCCAAAAGTAATGTTTAATTACGTAATATCATACATTAATACAATATATATTAACCATAATATTTAGCCTATAAGTATAACATTGACAGATCTTACAATGAAAGAACTTGAAACTTTTATTGATGAATAGGTGAGTGAGGTACTAACTTTTAAGGCATGCGAAATAAGGGTGACCCAGGTGAAAATGCCATAACATGTCTTCTCCCAAAATGCCTAGAATATGAACAGTCTCATAGCTGTTATCATGAGTTGTTCGGGATCTTTTTGGTTAAAGCCCGATTAACTCTCGAATCAAATGGACTCAACTCTAGTTTGAACTTGACTCAAATTCTTAAGGAGTTAAAATATACTATTTGATATTCGACTTGTAAAGCTTGCGAGACATTAGAAAAAATAATATATTAAATTTTTAGAATTTTAAAATTAATTTACTAATAATATTAAATTTTTATTTTGTTCTTTTTTAAGAGTGTAATATAAGGTTTTCATGTACTTAAGGCTCAGGTTCGAACTTGAGTTTGAGCTTTCATCAAGCTATGTATGAGAATGTTTTAAGTTTCTCGAGTTTTCAAACTCAAGTCGTGCTTTAATTTTTGATTTCGAGTTGAGTTTGAAAATTTTAAGTTCGCGAGCATTCGAGTCGAGTTTTAATTTTTTATATTGAGTTCGAGTCAAGCTTGACAATGACAATCTTTTGAGTTTTCAAATCGAATCGAGTTCACTTTTATATTTTTCGAGTTGAGTCGAGTTCGGCAATACTTGAACTCAACTCCGTTCGTTTACAGCCCTGCTTGTAGGAGTCATGCCTGGAATGATGGTGGAGGCTCAATGTGGCAAAAGATGAATGCTGCAGTAAATTCGGGTATTGTGTTATTCTAGAGGAGCTTTTGTTGACGCTCTCGGTTCACAAGGTTCGGCTCAGTTGAAGAGTTCAGGCATCAGATCGCCGCTTTCTTTGCCCATGCCAGCCATGAAACATGCATCTCTTAGCGTATAATTGTATCTTTAGCGTGTATACGCGTTGTCAATAGTTAACCTAAGACTTTTATAAAAACAACACTGAAACATATATAATACAAGATGAAAATTTTAAAACAAAAAACTTACAAAAGTGCAACTAAAACATGCACGAGACAAGATAAAAACTCAAATAAAACTTATTCTTATGAACGAACAAGTGTACGGAATTCGCTACATTATGAAATAACTTAACATTGAAAGTGAATAATGCGAGCTTAAAATTAGGTCAAATACTAACAAAAATAAATCAAAGAATCATGTTTATCATCATTTATATTTGCGTCGTACAATTTCTTCCTAGCTAGTAAAGAAACTCGCATAATACATCTTAATCCAAAACTAAAAGAATGATCAACAAAAACAAATGTTGGCAGTGTCTATATATATTGCACGTTGTTCAACTTCCATGGGGAATGGCCTAGTGACCAGGTCCTCGAGGACTAGGTCCCGAAACTAACCGCTGGAGCCAACATGACATAGTGAACTTCACCTTGTAAACCGTCAAGTAACTATCGATGGTGGCGAAATGTTCCAGTAAAACTCTGGCCGCTTCGACCTGGCTCAACACTGCCATTGAGATGACAAAGATGATCAAAAGGGTACTTAGTTTTCTGCTATTCGTCTTCCCAAAGAGTAACCTTCAGACCAGAAAAAAAAGGCTACAAATCTTTGAAGTTATGTATGGAATATGCAATAATTAGGAGTAACTGGAACTGAATGGTTAATATATAGGGAAAAAAAACAAGGGTCTACAAAATATAGTAAAAACAGCTGAAAATATCAACCAACGGAAATTGGTTCAAGAGGTAAGAAACTTAATATCCTTTAAGCATGCCTTGAGTTTGAGGTTTTGTGTATGGAGAAAATCTCCACTGGAGATTCACCTACCAAAGTCAAGTATGCGATGCAAGTCAATATGGATTAGTCATGACAAAACACTAGAACCAGGAGAAAAAAAAAACAGCTGAAAATATCAAAATATTGAGGAAATGTGGACTTTTAACGTGTTGACCAAGAAATTGTAACAGCTCGTTGCTGCTGGGAAAGCAGAAACACTATGGTAATCGAACTTGTCAATGGATGCTACAGTATACATATGAAAATTACTGGTTAAACCTTTCTGTTTAATTGCTTGGGTTCAAGAACCGACGAAGGTTGCTTTTGTTATTTTGAGAAAAAGACGGTCGAAATGGAGATTCAGTTGAGTAATTTAATGGAGGTCCAAGAGTTAGAAATATTGAATTTGACCAAGATTTTGGCTTGTTGGTTGGTTGGTCTGCCTGTGCTTGATTGAGTAAGATGACAACAGCAACAAATTAGTGTGTTTATATATAGTATGAGAAGTGTTGAACATTACTATTTAATTGTTTAATTTTGACTGTTCAATCAATTCAGTTATTTTCAAATAATTAAATTGATTAAAGGGGTGTTTTACGATTTAATTTTTGCCATCCAACTCTTTTTTTTCAAACAATATTTCGTTTTGGTCACTCGACGTTAAAAAGTTAATAATAATGCTAACGTATCATCATAAGGTAATGTCACGCTGTCATTAAAAACAATTACCAATCAATAGTTATGTTTATTTTTAACGCTAGGTGACAAAAATGGAATCAAAATGTAACATTATATATAATTTTAAAAAAATAGTTGGGTGACCAAAACAAAACATCGAGCATAAGTGGTGACTACATATATAGTTTGTCCTAAAAAAATCCGAGATTGAAAAATACTAATAAAATGAAATAACTTGGTTCAGTTTGATTAGTTAATTAGATTTAACCTAATAGTGAACCCTAATTAAAACTTCTAACGTAAACTAGAGTTAGGAATAGTTAAACTTTAGCTTTGGAGGTGTCATAACCATTTTTTTAAAAATAATTAAATATTATTTTAAAAAACGATTATGACTTTATTTGAAAATTTTGGTGATTTTAGATTAATTGGAATTAAATTGAAAAGGATTTGCCATCGACCTTTAAGTTAGGTAGGTCGAATACCTAAAAACATCTTTTAAAACAATTTTAATGAAAAATCGTTTTGTAAGACAAAAATTAGTATGCGTTACCAATGATTCATTTAAATGGATTCGGGAGTCGGTTACGCGTAGGGAAGGGTTAGCACCCCCACAACGCCCAAAATTGGTACTATGTCGCTTACACGTTGTCGTAAATGGTGGAAATTAAGTATCGAATATAAAATTAAAATATGATCCATTTATTGAAATATAATTAATTTGCTTCGAATTAACTATTTAAAGAAAATCCTTTTACACGATAAGAAATCTTAAAATTCGCAATCCTCCGTCGGAAAAGCTATTTCAACTATTTCTTATTTGTAAAAGAATATTCCGTCCTCATTGATTTTAAAAAAGGCGAATCACATATAAATTAAGAATCGACATTTGCATAAAATAAACAAATTGATGTTTTGAAACGTACATTGCATCATTTGAATAAGAGCACATTAATTAGTAAAATAAACTCGATTTTATTTCAAGTTCCCATGTCGTTAAAATGCCGTATAGGATCAAACCACTTTGACCAAGTGATGCTTTCCACGCTCATTCTACGCATACGTGTTCTTGAAATTATTCGAATACTATATCACTAAATAAGGAAATAAGATGGGACTAAAATAGTTGTAAATGAAAAGTAAAATATTCACAGCATAAAACTAATGACATTTATTTAACGTTACACATAAAAATAAATAATATGTACATATATATGGGACTGAAATAAAACAATTAAATATTACAAAAAATACAAATGGGGAAAAAGTAAATACTTGGTAATATCAGGGACCAAAATAATAATTAACAACAACTTGGAGGGTTAAACAATAATTACAAATAAACTAGAGCAGAAATCACAAATATTAAACAGTACATGTACTAGAAATGAAAATAACTCAAATCATAATTAGGACTAAAATGCAATAAATTAGAAACATGAAGGCTAAATTATAATTAAACCAAATGCCAACAATGACTAAAATAAAAGATTTACAAATGTCATGGCCAAAATTCGAACATCTAGGAAAATATACAAAATATTAAATTAGTGACTAAAATGAAACATTTATAAATATTGTGACCAAAATCAAACATAAACAAACATGGAAAAATAAACAGACTAGTGACTTAAATGTAAGTAATGAAATATAAGTGCTCAAAAGGGAATAATGAATTTTTTCATTAAATGGTTAAACGAAGAGATTATAAAGGAGTAGGGACCTAGGCTGTTATTAGCCCACAGAAAAATAAAAACACGAGTGAGATATACAAAAGTTAGGGACTAAATTTGATATTAACCCTCAAGCAAAAACACGAAAAAAAGGGAGTGGAAAAAGGTGATATTTTGATCATGCAATATAAACCCCAAACCCAAGTTAAACTCCCCAACTCCCTTCATTTGCTTTTGTTCAAGAAAACAGATGGAGAGAGAATTCTTATAATTCTCTCAACTTCCCTCGTCGGAGAGAGGGAGGTTGCCGTCCACCGGTGGCTCACGGCGGAGCACACGGTGGCTCGCGTTGGTCGGAGGGATCAATTGATCCCAAAAGGTTTCTCTCACTCCCCTCTCTTTAAATCTCCATCTCTCTCGGCCTAAAATCACCCTTACACGCCTAGATCTACAAAAGGAAACTG